AAATCTTTTTCAGTTTGGCTAATAAATAACAGTATAACAGTACTAAGGTCAAAATACCTAAAAATATATTAACAGTATTGGTCGGAACAGTCTGAAGTTTTCGGTATTTTGACCCTAGCACCATTATTTATCGATCAAATTTGTAAAATTTTTTTACCAAAATGATCAGTGTGGAAAGCTCTACACAGTTCAATAGACAAAAGCATTTTCTGAGAACTTTTTTTTTTTTGGTTAACTACCGGTGAAAGGGCCAGTTATACGACTAAAACTTTAAACTTTTCATATTTCTATAGTTCATCCTTCTCTTATGAATGACCAGTCATACTCCTAAATTCCGTTTTTGACGTGCTTTCATTTGGTATAAAATTCATTTGATATCTCTTGAAATATGAGCTGAAATAATATTATTTCCTACCCTGTAAGATCTGTGAACAGAGTATATTATACAAATATCGCTTTTGGTTCCTACAAGGATTTCCTTTTAATAAACCCAACCATAAGTCAGAAAAAAAATTTAAACATACATCTGGAACAACAAATTATCCTAAAACAGGTTCATAATATTCTCACATGCATATCTCTCTTATTTCTTGAGCTGTCACCCTCATTTTTGCACCATAAGAACAGTTTCAAATGCAGCTGCGATCATTGTCAGTTTCAACCGAACATCGTTTTCATTTATCAATAATTAGGATTGATTTTTATCGTTTTAATTTGCTGTCGCGATGAGTATTTTGAACAAATAATATTTTTATTTGTCAAAGTATCCGCTAGTATTTTTTCTACGAACCAACAATAAATGATTTCCTTCTTTTTAAATACCGTATCGAACAACAACAGCCTTTTTTCGACAGTTCTCTTCTGCGATCTATTCCCAGTACAGATCGGTCGTATAATATGGAAAAAAAGATTGAAAAGGAGGTCTCAAGAAAAGCATTAGTTGTGTAATTATCACTGTGACCGAATAAATGAAAAGGAAAAACATTGAAAATATTCAACAGAGGACAATTCCAAACTTCTTAGCAATGCATTTATGTGTTTTTTGTCCAGGTCAGCGTTCTTGATAATACAGTTGAACTACCAGACAGAAAACAATTAGAATCAGAATTGTCAGGTATAACCCTATCTTTCTCTTTTTCTCTCTCTCTCTTCTGTTCATAAATTCATAAATTTAGATGGATTCGTTACACTGTCTCCAACATCAACAAATGCACTCGATAGAACCGTGGAAGTCAAGAATGAAACACATTCGCCTAGTCATGAACGATTATCATCAAAAGTTTCATGTAAATATAGAACAATCATTCATTTCTTCTCACTAATATTTTCTAATAAGATAAAGTTCTCTTTAGTCGAGTGTCCTCCGATACAAGATTCATCAGACTCTACAAATGATTTGATCAACGGTTTCTCAAGTATTAAATTACATTCTAAATCTGTTGGTATGTACTTTTCATATTCATCTCTTGCTTCCATTTCTTAATTCTATTGTTTCTATTTTATGAAGAAAAAACATCGTCGTTGGCAGATATCAAACCAACATTCGATACTCACACATTTGTATTAAAGAAGAAAGAGCGACGTAAAGTGAACAATGAAAATAGTTTAAATTTGGTAAGAATCTAATTATAAGCTATGTTTCAAGAATAACAACGGGATAAATCCTATTATAGTATTCGAATCCTCAAGTTATTGAAAAATATTAAACCTGTTCACAAAATGAATTTTGTACATTCAACTATAGAAGAAGAATGTTAACATTATTTTTCTCTTCTAGGGTGCTGATGATTCAATGAGTGAATTGCCTGATTTATTTAGTAAAGGATCGCCATTAATTCCACATGCTATGTCAATTGAACAGCCACCGCCAGTTATTGACGATGCTCAACGAAAAGAAGTCGTGTGAGTAATGTGATAAATCCATTGTCTGACGTGTACTTTTCTATCATCTCCGCTAACTGCAACAGTCTTGTTTTCAACTAATTTAAAATACCAGATTCAATCTGTTTACTATTGAATTAAATAATTTATTTAATTGACACTACTTAGAATAACAATTGGGCAGTTTTAGTTCTATTTACTGTTGAAACATTGACTTTCAACAATGTTTACAAACGTTAAAATATATATTTCTCTATTTTATATGAATAATACTTGTTCAGACACTTACTGTAATTTCCGTTGAAATCTTACTATGTTGCTTTCATAAGATTCGTTCATATTTTTGAGAGAGAAATATCACATGTATAAATATTACCTGAGATAGACATTCGAACGACGTAGGACTATTTTCATCATTTTTATTTCACTACACTAAATAGGTGTAGGCTAGATGTGATCGATGAAAAAATATATTTTTATTCGTTCTGTTTTTCCTCTGTCCCTGAGCTTCTTTTTTTTTCTTCTTCTTTCTTCGTCTGTGATATTTTTGTATTATTAATATGATGAAAAAAGGAATCTTGCTTTAAATAATTTTATTTTATAATGGCTGCTGCTGCTACTGCTGCTGCTACTACTCCTGTGGTTTCTGACAGTGACACATCAAAATTTATATTAGATGAAGTATTTATAAGACCGCCACCATTAATTCCCAAAGATTCTCTTGATGCTGTATTACCATCAATCGATGATGAACATGATCAACATACGTATCCAATTACTAAAGCACAAACATCATCGATGATGGATTTTCTAGCGAATGAGGAGGAAATTTTAAAACAAAATATGCAACAATCTTCTTCGATACATGAAAATATGATTAAAAGTATAGTTAAAGATAATGACATGAATAAATCAACGTTATTTCGATCGTTAATTGAACACAATGAATTGGAGAATGTTCATGTCGATGAAAAAAAACGTCGATCTTTACTATTAAGTGAACATTTTGAAAAAAATGAATCATCATCATCATCGTCCAATGTACTAAATTCGTTACAGTCGGTATTTGATGTTTTAAAAGATTTGAGAACGACTGGAACAGTTGAAAATAAAATACAACAAAAACAATTTAATCCTATTGAGAACAAATTACCAACTATACCTTTAACAAATGATCATATTAATTCATTTAGGGATTGTTTGGAAAATTATTATCGTACACTATGGAGTGTTTGTGCACATACTGAAGAATTAAGACGTGAATTAAGAACGGTTAAAAGTGAACGTGATCAATTGACAGAAGATTTGGTCAATGTTGAAAATGCCTATGCTGATTTAAGAAAACGAAATGAAAAATTAAAATTAAATATTACAGAACACAAAAAGGTTTATGATCTTTATTTTTTCTCTCAAAGGAATAATTGATCATTTTTTTGTGTTTCCACTAATTTTAGAATGTTGAAACATTGAAACAATTTTCAGAAGACTCTATACGTTACAATGAAGAACAAAAACAAAAATATCAAGTACTTAAACAGCATGCTCAAGAAAAATTAGATAAGTAAGTGAAATGATGAAATTTGTCTGATTGTGTAGACTTTTGAGATCTGATATTTCTGATACTTAATCAATTGTGCATTCGGACTCTCTAGTTTCAATTAGACATACATCAAATCTTTCCTCATCCTATTTTAGATTATTTTTATTTCCAGTGTTACTTGGTTTATTTATTTTCAAATCGGTAGGATTATTTGTTTGGCTTTGCTCTACAAACTGGGATATGTTAATTCATGTCGGAAGACACATAATAGCCAAAAAATTCGAACTCAAACTATTTGTTAGCTAGCGAATCGTACTTTATTTTTTCTACCATCCGATGTCGAATTTCAAAACTCATGATATCTCAGTTTGGAGCAGAGGCTCGAATGAATACCTCTATACATTTTGAAAAAAACAAATTAGAGCAAGTAACGTTGGAGTTGGAGATTAATTTTTAATAGATGCTGAAATGGATTCGATGCATGCTTAGTTTTGATCAAAACAAATCTTATTAGAAATTAACATATCCAGTAGAATATCAACTTCAATCAAAAGAAGAAAATACTAACGAGGAAAGGTCTGTCTCCCAGTGTGCAATCGCCTTTTGCTTGAAATCTAGTGGAAAATAGATAATCGACTGTGCTAAATCCGAATCTGACATTAGCTTGTGCTGCTAGGCCTTCAGAGATCGAGTTTCTGGAAAAACAGGTTTCAGAAACTCTAAAAAATAACCAAAACCTTTCTCAATGAGGCATGATGGTAGACCGCAAATTTCTGATTAAATTGAGGTATCTCCCACCTCTACACGACCTTTCTTTACAAAGTTATAGAATTTACAAGAAAAACCCTAAATGTTCATTGTCAACTTAAAGCTACAGAAATAAGAAATTAATTTAGGGCTTTTCTTGTAAATTCTATAACTTTGCAAAGAAAGATCATGTAGAGCTGGGAGATGTCTCATTTTAATCAAAAATTTGCGGTCTACAATCATGCCTCAGTAAGAAAGGTTTTGGTTATTTTTTAGAGTTTCTGAAACCCGGTTTTCCAGCAATCCGGTCTCTGAAGGCCTAGCAGCACAAACCGATGTCAGATTCGGATTTAGCGCAGTCGATTACCTATTGTTCACTAGATTTCAAGCAAAAAGCGAATGCACATTTGGGGACCTTTCATCGTAAGAGAAATTCGGTTTAAAAGGTTGTACTTATTGAACGGGGAGGGGATAATCATATAGTATTTTAAATAATTTCTAACGTTTCATCATCTTTGCTCACTATTATTTAGAACAATTTTGATTAGACATCAGTCTACTATGATTATCTTTTATTATTGAAAAGCAAGTGGAGTTGCTGTTTTTGCTTTTTGATTAGCTATAACAAAAAACTAATGACTTCTTTTGAGTCTGTATTAAAATTGTCCAACAACACAAATGCCAATTTTGATTAGATAGACCGATAAGATTTCAGTTTTATGCTAACACTTGTCTTATTTTTAATTGAATTTATTTTTCGATTTTTTTTCTCCTAGAGCTAATGAAGAAATTGAAAAATTACGTAAAATACATACTACCGAGAGTGAAAGTGTACAAGCACAGTTAAGGTATGCACAATTACGTGTACAAAGTTTAGAACAAGAATTACAATCAACAAAACAAGAATTACAACAAAAGGTTTGTTTTTAGTTTGTGCGATCTATCGGTGCTTTATACAGTAAACTGACTATTTGAAAAGGACTTACAGACTTTTAATCTAATTTTAGAAAAAAGAGAATACAGAATTAACAAATATTTGTGATGAATTATTAGCTACGAGTCGACGTTAATCGTGTAATGTGCATCTGTCTTTGGTGCTATCTTTGTAGATATAATAAAGGCATGAACTACTTCTTTTTCTCTTTGTTATTACTTTGTTAAAAGTGTTCAATTTTTTTCTTTTCGCTTTACTCTTTTTTTATTGTTATCAGTGCTATATTCGTCACATCTCTTTCATTTTTTTAAGTAGAAAACTGTTTTTTTTGGTTGATACGATATATTTTTATGATGTATGTGTAATGTAATTAAATGACTGTGGAAAACTGGTCAAACTTTAATATTTTATAAAGTAGAAAAAGACTGTACTGATGCATCAAGTTTTTTTTCTTCTTCTTTAATTGTACACAGTGGAAGAATAGTCTAGTCTGTTTACTTTATTTCTGTGATAGATGTTGTTTCTATTTTTTATTGGCAATAATTTATCATTATTTTTGTACTTTATTCGTGTTGTTCATTTTTGTGTATTATTAAAACAGCTCTACTTTTACATTTGGTTTTTCTTTCATTCTTTCCCATAAAATCAATATTTGGAATAAAAAACACTTCTATGACAATTTTATTTTTGTTGATGTGATATATTCAAAGCCAAAACAATATGTGAATTTTATATCTACTATTCTCAACTATTTTTTGTTTTTTACGAAGAATCAGTCAAAGTTACAGTTTAACGATTAACGTTACTCATAGACGAATGGAGTAGTGCAATTAGAAGTAAAATAAGATTTCAACTCTTTTTTTAATATGTCCAGTCTCAGACTAGTGAAAGAAAAAATCGCTACATTGTGATTTATTAATCACAAATAACAGTTTGTATTTATTCCAGATCAGTATGGCTAGTTGTCAACCTAAACACTCACAATTGCCTCCCACTGATTATGATTTACGAAAATTGGTGCTTGCTTGTCATTTTCTTTGTACAGCGGATGAAAGAAGACGTATACCAATTTTACTTCGTCATTTAAAATCAAAGGGTGATGAGACATTTAAACAATTTAATGAAAGAGCAATCGAAAAATGTGATAGTTTAAAAGAAATATGCGAGGTTTTATTAACATATAAACAAATGAAACCGAACGATTTGCATAGATTTGTAGCATTTGTTCATGAAATGAATTTAGAAAAAATGGATAATTTTGAACAATTAATTAAGGATTACAATGAAACGTTTTCATTACACTAGTTAAAAAACATTTAAATTTTAGTCAATGTGTAAAGGAATAAACTTAAAGAAACGTATTTATATTTTCTATGAGAATTGTTTGGTATGACGTTATTTATCTTTTTTCGAATGTTTTATAAATATTTGGATAGAAAAATGATTACATGAGGGGTAAAAATGAATTATTATTTCATCAAAGACCATTTGACCATTAAATCAATACAAATTCATTGTCCTGAATCAAAAATGTTTTAATTTTACACCTTAGAAAGCTGACATATTTTCAAATTAATGATACAGTTTCTCGGAAATTAATTAGCTAGTTGCTGTCATCTGAGACTTACGTTTATGATTCATTTACACATTTTATTTTAAGCTTTGTACTTTTTTTTGCTTCTTTTTGTTTTTTTGTTTTGCATTATTTTGTTAAAAAATGTTATCTATTTTTTTATTATACTTTGTTCAAATAATCACCTACAAACAATGTGATACACATTATTTACAGCATGCTGATCTGTTAATCTCAATAGACAATTTTAAGCTATTCTCATTCTCTCAGTGAAGAAACTGTTAACAAATTTGTATCAATAACAAATACATTCTTCAAATGTTGAAATCTGACGTTCATACTAAATTTTCTTATAAAAATCATAGTTTATAGACATTTTCACTATTTACTTCAGATAAATCTTGTATATACTTGTTCAAAAAAAAAATAATAATAATAAGATGCATTCATTTTTAAATCGTTTGAATACATTATTTTCTTTTACACTAACCGTATTAGCAATTTTAACAGTTGTTGTATTTATATCAACATATTTTGAAAAATATCATGCACCCATCGCAATATCAACAAGTAAAACACTTGTGTAAGTTAAAATTGTTATACCATTTTTTGTATTATATTGGGAATGAAATGTACGTTATTATTTTTATTTTTTTCCTATAGAAAACGTATGACTGATTATTCATCTAGAAAAAAAAATGATTTGGGTATATTACAAATAGATTTGGATATGAGTATGCATCTGACTTTATTTTACAGAAAACTATAACAGATACAGTTAATTTTTGTTTTTTATTTAGATTTAGATAAATTATTCGACTGAAATGTTAAACAATTATTTTTATATTTGATAGCTGAATATATTACAAGAACAAATGTACGTATACGTTTTTTCACATTTACAGAAAAAAGTTAGCATATCTATAGGGGATAGTTGTTCTATTTTAGATTTTGAATCAAGTTGTTCTTTGGGATAAAATACTTCGACGTGGTGAAAATGCACGAATCAATTTACATGAATTAAATTCAAAATATTATTTTTGGGATGATGGTGAAAATTTAAGGTTAGATCATACAGTGTCGTTTAAGAGTACCCCGTCTCCTCTTTTTTCACCTTGTTGCCAAATGCAGAACACATGTCCGATTGAGCTCAGATTTATATCAGAGATAGAATACCGAAAATGAAAATTAATGTCTTTTTGCTCAGAATTTTGTGACATGATCTTCTATGGGTTTTCTGAACAAGAGTTACATATTTAGAATTAGCGTGAAATTCTGCGTCGAATGAGGTAATGGGCACCTTGGAAAAACCATTTTCAATTTCTCGGAAAATTTGTAGTCCCTATTCCACCTTTGGAACATCGAAAAAAGGTTTTACTCAGAATTTTTCTAAAGATACTTTATTCGATGTAGAATTTGATGCTGATCGTGAATATCAGGTCCAAACTGGAAAATAGTTAAGTTTTGATCGAAAAAAATCGATTTTACTGACACATGGCGTCAGCGACTTGATTCATTAAAAACAGGCCTTTTCCCCTTGGATTTGGTATGGAAACCTCCAAAACCGTCTGGATATACTCAAAAATGTCCCAGCTTTCCGATACGGAACAGAAATCCGCTTCAAACTAGCGTTTTCAGGTCAAAATCGGATTTTGTAACGTTTTCTGGAAAACCTTAGTTGGAAAAACCGGATTTTCCGAAAATGGCTAAACTTTGGAAGAAATTTTGACATGATTTTTGTGAAAGAAATTTGTTGGAAAATGTTGACCCTTATAAGCCCCGTCCTTTTCTTTTTCGGTGTTCTGTCTCTGATATAAATTTGAGCTCAATCGGACGTGCGTTCCGCATTTGGCAACAAGGTGAAAAAAGAGAAGAGTGTACCCTTAACAATAACACATGTTTCCATCTCTATATTTTAGATCGAATAATATCACATTAATATTGGGCTGGAATGTAATTTCGAATGCTGGAAGTTTATCACATGTTCAAGCCAATGGTTCAACATCGTTTATATTTTCGGATAGTTATACAACAAGTCGAGGAAGTTAAAAAATATCAAAATGTTCGTTTGTATATCAATTGGTGCACTTCATTTTTTTATTTTTATTTTAAGATGTTTTTGTTTTGTTTTGTTTATTCGTTTTCATTATTGTTATTGTTAGTTTCTTTCTTGATTGTTCACATTAAAAAAATACAGATAATTAAGAAAATTGTTTTGGATCAATAAATTTCATCTTTTTTCAACTGAACGCAACGGATCGTATAAAATCATTCGTACTTGCCAACTTGACTCATTTTTTTGAAAAAAAAATTTCCAAGGACTATTTCATCTCATGACTATTAGAAGTAACCAAGAAGAGGTGCTTTTGTGAAGCTCATCTCTGAATTCTAAAGGAATGAAAAGCTGAAGTTAACAGCAGTTATCATATTCTATATCAAACAAAATACAAAGAAACACTTCCAAGAAAGACACAAATTGCGGGAGAAACTAACAAAACTGTCGTAAAAATAAGATTATTCCAAACATGATATGGTTATATTTTTTAGATACATCAAAGTGTTATGTTCATTGAAATTAGTTCATTTCTCATTAGTGAAAAGACAAATGGCTCATGAAACGCATATAGTAAGTTTAATGATTGAGTTTATGATTGAATATGTGAGTTTTTATCTAATCATACTTTTAGATTCGAGATTTTTTAGAAACATACAATCGTATAGTTGAAGAATGTTTTAATCGATGTGTATACAAGTTTAGTTATCGATATTTGCTCGATGATGAGGTAAAAACAATGACAACAAAGAATTTATTTTAAGTTTTTAGATTGTAAAAGCTAAGGAAAATAAGACGGTGATGGCCGTCGATACAACATTGTCAATCACATTTTATTAGCTGTTTTTTCAACGAGTATTAGAATTTGAGACGATAAATTATGGACAAGTTTTGGAGTTGAATAATCGAAAATTTATGCTAATGGATTTACTTTCTCGATTTATTGTATATGACGAACTACTATTATTGAGTGTGATTTTTCAACCAAATCGATAATAAACCTTTTTAATACAAAAATATGGTTAAAATCTATCGATTCTTCGAGATCAGATAGATAATTTTTATTGTTCACATTTGTGAACGTTGATACGATTATAAAATGCGTGGTATAATAGCATGTAAGAGAATCCCTCTACTTATAACGTTATTTTCTACACTGCGCTGACGATATTGATCAAATTTTTAGAAAACGTAGGCTGTTGTATTTGTCGGTTTATGTAAATATTTTCAGTTAGAAATGCAGAACAATTCAAGAGTTATAGATGGTGCAGGGCTGAAAATAGAGCTTTTTGTACGAAAGTTTGACAACAACCGTAAAAACGGGATTGTTTTTTTAAAGCTGGCTACGTTCAAAAAAGGTGTTTTCGCGCGTTTAAAATGGCGCCACTATTCGCGCCAAAACGCGAAAAGTGATTTGAATAAAGAGATACTTTGTTGCCCGTACATTCATTCAATAAGCTATTCAGAAAAAAATTGGACCGATTCTGTTCAGCGTATAAGAAGTCGATTTTGCGATAATGCAAAAACGGAAAGGATTTATTACAACGTTTAAACTCCAACAGTATACCATTCTGCTCATACAACCCATTGAGTACTTTTGCAGAGAAAAGTGTGCTGAATCCAGCAGTGAAATTCGCCTGTGCAAATATCTTTTACTTTTCTAGTTATAGTCGTGCATTAAACCCCTATTTGTATAGGCACCTTGAGTGTCACTCTTATCCTGCATGATGACACTCTCCTAAATCCTAAAGGGTTTATTATAACACCTTTTTTTCAGGGGTGTACATCTATAATTCGGTTCAGAATTTTTCTAACTGAAATTTAAAAATTTCCAGTATTAAGCAATAAACCACACAATATCTAAGAATTCGGCGTCATATATGACTAATTTCCATCATTATTCTGTATGTTAAGTAACTTCAATACTAATATGCCATATTTCCGACGGATGAACTGAAAACAGACGGTAAATTTGTTGAATGGTTTAAGTAAAATGTGTTTAACCACCATAAAAAAATTACAATCAGGGGTTTGTTCATATACGAACAACATCAGGTAAAGATTAATTAATGATACATAACATACATTTTGAACCATATGAAGATGCAATGAACGGATCTCTATGTACGAATTCTATGCGAGCATGAAGCTAGTTGGTTAGGAAGCATTAAGCAGTGTCAATTGTTGTTTTCAATCATTATTTTCTTTTCTTAGATTGATTGTGCCACTCAATGTACTTCGAAATATGTCAACTTTAATCAACGTATGGCCATGAACTTTGGAACATATCAAGCTCAAAAAATGGTCCAAATGGCAGAACAAATGGAACAGCAGCAGCCAGTACTGTCTCAACAATCAGATCAGATCCCTGCGCAGACCATTTCAACTCCAATCAACAGTGAAGCAATCGCTGATTCTCTAAACTGAAATAACGTATTTTGTATTGTTGCGAAAAAAATAAAATGTTTTTCTTTATGTTTTTTGCAATTCACCTTGTTCAACATATGTGTATTTTTTTGTATTTTGATTGATACTTGTTTCTAGTTTGATAAAACGAAATAATGGATCATGCAGCAAGTGTCTTTGTAAAAATATGATGTAGAAAATCGACAAATAATTATAGCTTTAACACTGTGGTGTTATAAACTAAATTTTCTGGCTTTTTTTTTGGTCAATGGTATTCGTGAATGATCATTGTGTTGAATGTCGTAAGTAATAATCGATTTGAAAAAAACGCTCTTTCCTCAACACTTTCGCTTGAGCTAGCTACTCGTTCCCACTAATGCTAGGGAAAGTATAGTTCGAACCTTTAACAGTTGATCAACGATCTGCAATTATTTTTTAATATATACTTCAGTTCACATATTATGTGAAACTGCCATCGGAATATCTCTTTGGGAGCGTTTTAAATTTCCCTTATTACACTTCACTCTCGAATCTTTAGGCAGCATAGGTGGTCTCTTGTTTTTAAGTTCCTAAAAAATACACTCACAACATCCAACATAAGCTATTGTCTCACATATATTAATGTTTACTACCAATACTCATTGGTTTATTTTTAGTGAAATGCTGAAAAATTCATCTGCGTATTCCTATATTATGATACCTAATCAGTGCTTAGAGATAGCCTCTTTGACAAGTTCAATATCGTCAATTTAATTGTTTTGATGAAATTTGGTCATGTCGTTGATTGTTCTATAAATCCTTCATCCAAGTTTTCGTTTGTCTTTTTCAACTTGTTGAAGCGTTACTTTTTTTCAGCATTAGCTATGTTTTTCTGATTTTGCATGTTTTATTTCAGATAATCATATAAATTTTCTCGATCATCATCCATTTCCAATTTGTCCATCAAGAAATTTCTTACTGCGGTTTGTTACTTGTTACTCTCGTACTACTAATCGTTTCATGTATGTGTGATACCTTTAAATCGTTTATGTGTACCGCTTCAAAAAAACAAAAATCAAACCGTTGCTTTGTTATTGTTAAATATTCTGTAAAATTGAGGTGTAACCTAAACTCCGACCTAACAAATCTTTCCTTGGTTGCCTACATTGCAACTAAATTTATAAAGCAATAATAAAAACAAATGTGCGTCTATAATAGTGTAACGAAAGAAACACAAAGAATGGGCACTTTTTCCATTATGGATGAAAACTGCCAAGAAACCATCTATGTATCTCATTTCGTTCAAAAAACGTTTAGCTAAAACAGTAAAAAATTTTATTTTTCATTCTAGAAAGATACTTATCATCAGCTAATAGCTAATCTACTATATGAAGTAGAGCAAAAACTTACCTGCTATTGATAGCATATTTTGTTTGGCGAGTAATTTTTTTTATAATCAAACAGAATAATTACTTTCTTTAAATTTTGTTTACCGATCGAATTACGAGCAAATATTTGTAATTAGGAAACTGTGATGAACATTTTTGTCACAAGTGAACGAAAATGAAACTCGTATCACAGTGATATTTGGAGTGTCATTACAAATTAACAAAAATGTAAATCATTTGACTGATAAGTGGTAAAATTAATAATTTTTAACTCTAGTGGATGAACGTAAAGGTGTGAGACAATGTTTTTTTCGTCGATGATATGTACGAAAACGTCGATATATCTCTTCTATAGCTGGATACGTACGATGCTAATAAGACGAAAACCAGAACAATACTATGTCATCCAGTTACATCCATTGCTTTAAAAATTTCTGAAAATACTTTACACAACAAATACATGAAATATTTATACGAAATAAAAAAGTGTAACTTTGATTTAAACAGAACTTTGTTCAACTGAAACAATACATTGAGAGAAA